CTCGGTTTGAAATTCTATTATTAACAAGTTATTAATTAAAAATGCATACTGCGGGAAGCAATTTGTTATGCTCGGTTAAACATTATACAGCATAATATCAGTGTATGACACTAATGTGCATGTATGAATGTATGTAGATATTAAACAGAGTCAAGTGTCTTACCCTACCAACAGATAAATAATTATTCCATTGCAGTATTGTCTCTGGCCATTTCTTAAATCTCAGCGTGCCTATACCGAACAGACTTTCCTCGCCACTTTTTCCTTGACAAGTTTTACTTGCTCGCGTATACGACAAAAAATTTACAAGTTTTCCGCGTGCCAAGGAGCCTTGTATAGTATATAAGCTGGTCAGTACGTACCACACAATATCTTGTCAATGTAATGAGAAATTCATGTGGAAATGCTTTGCCGTATACACTATAACACTAAAAGGTAAACTGGTCGAGTACAGAGTATCACTATGGTATAGTAAAGTAAGATTATGAAGTCATGAGACAATTAAGACGCAAGCAATACATGCATGATCATCAGGTCATGGACAATTTTGTCTGCTTTTTTTTCTTAATTAAACATACAATTATAATTTATATACAAAAACAAATAACAGAAGGAAAACGTCTACATATATAAACGTATAATAACGCAGCGTAAATCAATACCACTGATGTGAAAGGCATGCAATATTCGGCCGCCAATCATAAAACATATATCCTATAATATGAATTAGGCAGCTGTTCTGTTGTATAATATTCCTGAAAAAATACAAGGAAAATTTGACGTTTTGAAAGTTTAGTTTTATTCTCACTGGCAATGAATTAGTTATACGGTATTATATTATATTATATATAATATATATTAAGGAGGGCCTATATAGTTGCATATATCGAAGCTGCTTTTGGTTAGGTTTAAAAAAATGTTGATAACTTTCCGTTCGATTATCCATCAACAAGCATCTTTATCCTAATTGGTATTCTTCTCAATACACTCGCAGTGCATTGATTTGTGATTGATTGATCAACCTGATAAAACACTCCTGCATTAAACATTACCTATTAAATATCCTACTAGAATATATAATTGGTCTTTGATAGAGAAAACGGCCAATAGGATCGAATACACTGTATTGTATCAGTCAGATTGTATTTGCAAATTGGGTTTCTTGTTCAGGATGAGACTTACAATGAACATTTTGTAAAGATAAGAGAATTTGATGGCAAATAGTAAACAAGTATATTTAATAAATAAGTGTACCAACGCTGTTTCCAAAAATATCACTTTGTATACATAAATATTTGTTTTCAATAAGATGTAAGTTGCTGCATGTGTAATAATTATGATACAACTTTCAGCTTTATAACTGATTAAGCAAAGATGACTACATCTTCTTAATCTGTCAGCAAAAGATGACTGCATCTTTCTGACACAAGTGCGTCCACTAAAAGAATTCTCGTAATCTTTATACTGTACAACAGCAATGTAGTTTTTATGCCTTGAATAGTAGCTTATGATAAAATTATAGAATTTATTGTACTTTTCATTTTGATATAAGTTGCTGTGTAATAATTATGATACAACTTTCAGCTTTAGCTGATTAAGCAAAGATGGCTACATCTTCTTAATCTGTCAGCAAAAGATGACTGCATCTTTCTGACACAAGAGCGTCCACTAACAGAATTCTTACAATTTTTATACTGTACAACAGCAATGTATTTATGTCTCGAATAGTAGCTTATGATAAAATTATAGAATTTATTGTACTTTTCATTTAGATATAAGTTGCTGTGTAATAATTATGATACAGCTTTCAGCTTTAAATGATTAAGCAAAGATGACTACATCTTCTTAATCTGTCAGCAAAAGATGACTGCATCTTTCTGACACAAGAGCGTCCACTAAAAGAATTCTCATAATCTCTATACTGTACAACAGCAATGTAGTTTTTATGCCTTGAATAGTAGCTTATGATACAATTATAGAATTTATTGTATTTTTCATTTAGATATAAGTTGCTGTGTAATAATTATGATACAACTTTCAGCTTTAACTGATTAAGCAAAGATGGCTACATCTTCTTAATCTGTCAGCAAAAGATGACTGCATCTTTCTGACACAAGAGCGTCCACTAAAAGAATTCTCACAATTTTTATACTGTACAACAGCAATGTAGTTTTTATGCCTTGAATGGTAGCTTATGATAAAATTATACAGGATTTATTGTACTTTTCATTTAGATATAAATTGCTGTGTAATAATTATGATACAACTTTCAGCTTTAACTGATTAAGCAAAGATGACTACATCTTCTTAATCTGTCAGCAAAAATGAATGCATCTTTCTGACACAAGAGCGTCCACTAAAAGAATTCTCATAATCTTTTTCTGTACAACAGCAATGTAGTTTTTATGCCTTGAGTAGTAGCTTATGATAAAATTATAGAATTCAGTTACTTTTCATTTAGATATAAGTTGCTGTGTAATAATTATGATACAACTTTCAGCTTTAACTGATTAAGCAAAGATGACTACATCTTCTTAATCTGTCAGCAAAAGATGACTGCATCTTTCTGACAGAAAAGCGTCCACTAAAGGAATTCTCTTAATCTTTATACTGTACAACAGCAATGTAGTTTTTATGCCTTGAATAGTAGCTTATGATAAAATTATAGAATTTATCGGACTTTTCGTTTAGATATAAGTTGCTGTGTAATAATTATGATACAATTTTCAGCTTTAACTGATTAAGCAAAGATGACTACATCTTCTTAATCTGTCAGCAAAAGGTGACTGCATCTTTTTGACACAACAGCGTCCACTAAAAGAATTCTCAAAATCTTTATACTATACAACAGCAATGTAGTTTTTATGTCTTGAATAGCATAGCTTATTGTAAAATTATAGAATTTATTGTACTTTTCATTTTGATATAAGTTGCTGTGTAATAATTATGATACAGCTTTCAGCTTTAAATGATTAAGCAAAGATGACTACATCTTCTTAATCTGTCAGCAAAAGATGACTGCATCTTTCTGACACAAGAGCGTCCACTAAAAGAATTCTCACAATTTTTATACTGTACAACAGCAATGTAGTTTTTATGCCTTGAATGGTACCTTATGATAAAATTATACAGGATTTATTGTACTTTTCATTTAGATATAAATTGCTGTGTAATAATTATGATACAACTTTCAGCTTTAACTGATTAAGCAAAGATGACTACATCTTCTTAATCTGTCAGCAAAAAATGACTGCATCTTTCTGACACAAGAGCGTCCACTAACAGAATTCTCACAATTTTTATACTGTACAACAGCAATGTAGTTTTTATGCATTGTATAGTAAAATATGATAAAATTATAGAATTTATTGTACTTTTCATTTAGGTATAAGTTGCTGTGTAATAATTATGATACAACTTTCAGCATGAACTGATTAAGCAAAGATGACTACATCTTCTTAATCTGTCAGCAAAAGATGACTGCATCTTTCTGACACAAGTGCGTCCACTAAAAGAATTCTCGTAATCTTTATACTGTACAACAGCAATGTAGTTTTTATGCCTTGAATAGTAGCTTATGATAAAATTATAGAATTTATTGTACTTTTCATTTTGATATAAGTTGCTGTGTAATAATTATGATACAACTTTCAGCTTTAGCTGATTAAGCAAAGATGACTACATCTTCTTAATCTGTCAGCAAAAGATGACTGCATCTTTCTGACACAAGAGCGTC